TCCAATAAAAAAACAACGACTTGTTTTTGGGTCAAGCTTTGTCTCAAAAGGATTATATATTTAAACCTCTGCAGGACAACCCCAGACACGGAGATGATTCAAACTGGGTTTTCTACCTGTCCAAAGCTCAAAAGGTGTTTTTGAAACTGATTTACTAGGAACTCTATTAAGTATATAGAGGGCTGTTTCCAAAGCGTCACCCCATAAAAATTCCGGTAAATTACTCCTACTCATCATGCTTCTCATCATATATTTAAGGGTGCAGTTTCTCCTTTCAGCTACACCATTCTGTTCAGGAGTACCAGGCATTGTGTATTGTGGAACAATTCCACAATCTTGCAAGTATTTTGCAAAAGGTCCCCTGTTTTGCCCAGTAGAATGATATCTACCATAATACTCTCCACCACGGTCAGAACGTACCACCTTTATCACTTTTCCTAGTTGCTTTTCAACCTCAGTTTTAAAATTTTTAAACTTTTCAAGTGCTTCTGATTTTCCCTTAATCAAGTAGAGATAGCCATACCGTGAAAAATCATCAATGAAAATGATAAAAGATGTATTACCACAGATAGTTGGAGAAAGGGGGCCACTAATATCTGTATGAATTATTTCCAAAAGGTCTGAACTTCTAGTTGAACCTTTCTTATTGGTCTTTGTAAATTTTCCTCTAATACAATCCATACAAGTCCCTACACCATTGAAATCTAAGGAAGGTAAAATATCATCTCTAATTAACCTTTCAACTCTTTCTTTAGAGATATGTCCTAAACGCTTGTGCCACAACAAAAAGGATTTTTCTCTAATTTTATATCTTTTAGCAATGGAGCTTTCAACATTTAAGGATGAGGATATCATATCACAATACAAAGATAACTTATATAAACCATCCAACAAGATACCATTACCAACAACTTGAGAATTCAACATCAAATTTAATTTTCCATCATAAAAGGTAAATTGAAATCCAAACTTATCCAAACAAGATACTGAAATCAAATTTCTCCTAAAAGAAGGTACATAAAAAGTATCTTTCAAAACAAGTTCAAAACCAGTTCCTAAGACTAAGCTAACATCTCCCACTAGCTCCACAACGACTTCAAGATCATTTCCTACCCTGAGTTTGCTTTCCCTCAAGTTTGGTCTCCGCTGGTTTCTGAACCCCTGTAAGGAAACAGCAATATGGGTTGTAGAACCACTATCAATCCACCAAGAGTTAATGGGAACATCAACTAAGTTAGACTCAAAACAGACAAAAGCTAAATGATTACCTCCAGATTTGTTCTTGTTGTCTAACCAAGCTTTAAAAGCATGACAATCAGTTTTCTTATGTCCCTTTTCCTTACACCAAAAGCACCAAACAGATTTCTTAAAAGCAACAGGTCTGGGACCTCCTATATTATGATGTTGACCATTATCAGGTTCCTTATAAGGAATTCTATGAGCAACACTATGAGTGTTTTTCTTATTTTTCCAAGATTTTTTACCAGAATGGGGTTTAGCATGAAAGGTTAGGAGTGCTAGATCACTTTTCTCCTTCTTGAGTTTCTCTTCTTCAGCTACACACTTGGTAATGAGGTTATTGATAGTCCACTTATCACCAAATGTATTATAAGCAGTTTTGATTTGAGTGAACTCAACAGGTAGGCAATTTAAGGCATGAGACACAATAAAATTCTCATTCAGGTCAATGTCATGGGATTTTAGTTTGGTTTGGACATGAACCATCTTAAGAATGAACTCTCTGACACCCCCATTGTTATCATATTTCATGTCCGTGAGTTGTTTCATTAAACATCCAGATTCAGCATTATCAGATACCTGAAATCTCTCTCCAATAGTAGTAAGATACTCTTTAGCATTCTCTTTTTCAGGCAACCCACTTATCAGATGTTCAGAAATTATTCTCTTTATAGCACACAAGCTAAGTCGATCACTCCTCTCCCACTTAGCTAATTTTTCTTTCTCTTCAGGTGTACTCTGATCATTGATCACAGGTTTGGTTTCACGCAATGCCATGTCAAGGTCAGCAATCCCTAACGAAAACTCTAAGTCTTTCTTCCATTTTTTAAAATTAGACCCATTCAAGATCTCAATAGAAGCAGAACAATTGTTCATAGAGAAGGTCACTGATTAGACAAAATAGAAATGCATTAGAACAAATAATAAAGGCAAGATATAGCTTTAATGAACATAAGTTATCACTAAGAGGCCAACATTATCACACAATCCCCTTTGGGTGGAATGCGTAAAACCTAGGTTAAAACCAAGGTCAGAACCTCAGATGAGTCGCTCAATGAGCATACATTGGGTTCGAAAGTCTATCTCCTTTGGATAGATAAATTCTCTAAACCAAAACACCTCCAACAACTTCATCTACAAATTTCAAGGATAAGCTACTCAATGAGCATACATTGAGTTTAGAAATTTATTTCCTTTGGATAAATAAATCCCTTAGACCAAAGCATCTCCAATAGTTATATCCTTAATCAACCACAATCTTTACATACAATTATCCACCTTTGGGAAGACAATCACAGTAATGACTTAAAACCATTCCTCAAACTACAAAGATACTTTTATAAATTAAAACGAGCGATCTCACTTTGGTGGTAATCACACACAATAATTTATAGAATTTCTTGCATAGGAATTAAAAAAAATTCTTGCCAAAATAAATCATGAACCAATCATGAATTTAAACCATATAACATTCCTAATAAATTTTGTCTTCAACAGTATCAATCTCAATATTATAGAGATATTATATAATATTTCAAAATACTTGACAAAACAAATATATTACAAATTTATATAAACTAACATTTATTTAATAAAATTTCCGAAGAGAAAATTATAATAATTTAACATTAGATTTATATATACGAGATCAATAAGAATACACGAGATCAATAATTGTTAATGACTTTACAATTTCACGTAATGACTAACCATTATATTAAATCATAATTATATATTAAGAATAATAAATTGAGTCCTAATTCATATAATTTAAGCTCTGATACCAAATGTAAGCGGAAATATTCATGGATATTATATGACATTAAAACATCAATACTTACTTGTTGAAATCATGATTCAGAATTCCGAATGGATGAATGACCAGATCTTCCTCTGTATCTCACACTCCCGTTCACAACTTTAAATGTGGCAAGTTATGGAGCCGTCAGTTATGTTTCTGATACTTTTTTGTGATTACAAAGGGGACCTAGCCATATAATATATATAACCTTAGTCCCTACCCATTATGGGCCCAAGGTTAAAGCCCACACTTTTACCCACACCAATCAGGTTTCAGATACTCAACCATTAATTAAAAATTGATCACTTAATCAATTAAAGGGCTTATATATGCACCCCCATCAGAATCACGATTAACCCGTTTTTTACAAATTAAACCACAATTGATTGTAGCCCATAAAATATTAGATAAATCTAACAAAAAGTTGAAAATCATATCCTCCCTTAAGTCACGCAATTTAAATATATTTGGATTGTAATACAAAATGATGGAGAATTATAAGAGAATGTAAACTATCGAGTTCAAATTGAGTTGTTAAAATGAAGGAGAACTTCAAGGGTTTTGTATGACACAAAAGTACCACTCAAGCTGAAGGAAAAGTTTCATGTGACACCTGCGATATTGTACGGGACAAAATGTTGGACAGTTAAAAATCAACACGAGAATAAAGTAAATGTAGCGGAGATAAGGATGTTGCATTGAATGAATGGTAAAACTAGGCATAATTAACTTAAAAATAACAATATTAGAAAAAAAAAGTGTTGGGATTACACCTCTAATACAAAAGATGGTAGAAAATAGATTTCGACAAACATGTGGATTATATGGTAAGGATATCAGATAAAAAAGAGTCAAACAGATAGATATAGAGAAAAACCTAAAAAAAAAACTATAAAAAATTAAAGAAAAACCTACAAAAAAACCATTAAAAAAAGCTATTAAATAGAAACATAATTCTGAATAGAATATTTTAAAAAAAATTTGCGTGTTGTTTGTCATCATATCCTTTTCATCATGTATCAAACTTAATCCCATTTTCACCGAGTTCCCACACCAAATTCCCATATTGGCAAATGACAAGGACGAAAACAAAAAGTTGTTTGTCATCGTATCCTTTTCATCATGTATCAAATTTAATCCCATTTTCACCGAGTTCCCATATTGGCAAATGACAAGGACGAAAACAAAAATTCATCATGTATCAAATTTAATCCCATTTTCACCGAGTTCCCATATTGACAAATGACAAGGACGAAAACAAAAATTCATAGGAGTATGTTGGAAGGTGAACACTCTAATACCATTGGATTCAGAAGATACTCTCATTCAATAAAACATCATATTAAATGTCATATAATTTTTTATATATATTTTATTTAAAAATAAATTAATATTGAGTCTTTTTATATATTTTTTATTTAAAAGTAAATTAATATTTTAACTTAATTTACACCAAGTTGAAAAATGTTTTGTGGCGGGTACCTTTTTCTATAAAATTCTTCTATACCGAATAGCGTGATTGTAGAAACATCCTGCCATAATAAGCCACATAAAGAAACAAACAAGTGCAAACATAAAAACTCACTGGGAAAACTGGAGGTAATTCAATAATTATACGAGGATAAAGCCACAGAAATTTAAATCATTAAAATGTTGAGTATACAAAGATAGTTGTGCTTGTATCCCATCCAGGGGTTTAAATCCTTCATGTATTTTGCAAGTACATACCATGAATAAGTAAATAAATACAAGAAAATGTTATGTATAAATTACATCTTAACAAAAAGCATTAGCTTCCGCAGCAAAATTGATCACATACTGTTTTTATTCCCTCTCCCCTATTAAATAAATGTTTAGTTTCCCCTCAATCCGAGGATAATAATAGACTATGACAAAAAATCTAAGCATATTTGTTACATATGTCATATGGCACAATTAAAGAACTACTTAGTAAATTTAATCACTTCTTGCTTTTCTTTCTTCCTTTTACTTGTTTCTCTAAGCTTCTAAGCCTTTGACTGATAACAGCAGAAGAAGATATCTTTTTATTTGCCTGTTTTGATGAATCAACTGGAAATGAGCTTTGACCATTTGCTACTGATGCCGCTTGTTTTAGTGCTGGAAATATTGAGAAGGGAGATTTTGGAGCGCTGATGGGATCTGCAGGAGGCAAATCAGGAATACCTAAAGTTTTCTTTACACCGGGGACTCTAAGCACTGCGAAATGGTGAAACAAAACCAACTTAGGCGTATTGAAATGGTGAATAATGACAATATGATATGGCAAATGAGAATTTTGAAGTTTCTTACCCATTCCATATGAAAGTGAAAACAAGTTTGATGTGATCCAGTAACAAAATATAGCCTGCAAAATTATACATGAACACAAGTTTAAATTACATAAAATGACAAATAAAAGCAGCAGTAGTTAGAAGAAAATAGGCAACATACCTTTGGAAAACTCATGGTGAAAGGAACGGAAAGAAGAGCAAGAACCCTTGAGAAATTTTTCATGGTGGCAGCCATAGGATTTCCTTCCATTCCTTCTTGCATATTACACTAAAATGAAAATAAAAAACGAAATGTACGGCCACACACACATTCAGACAAGTTTTCAAAAAGTCAAACTAGAAAGATAATTGAAAAGTTGAAAGTAAAGTCTCTAGAATTGAAGTGCGCACCTCTACTACTAATAAAAATGACAATGCAGTTATAACTGGAAAAATGTATAAGGCATCTGGAGTTGTGAGATCGGTGAACCAGAAAGCTCCACCATGTTTAAATGACGGCATTTTTTCAGCCATGTTTGTTATCTGTCATTAAAGAAAGTAAAATAAAACTGTGAGTGGATAGAAACAATATTAAGGCTCATCAGATTCTACAATTAGAGGGAACATCAAAGCAAAAGTCAGCTTACCGCAAGAAAAAAACTAATGAAGACAGGACCTTGAATAAATAGTCCCTTCATTGGCGTAAATGGAGTCACACCATATCTAATGAAACAAAAGAACCATGAAGTTTTATTTACTACTTAAAATAAAGGTTACTTGGAGCCACAGACCAATTACATCATACTTTCTTAAATACTAAACATAATGAATCTTCATATGACTACTGTGATCACAATTGTAACTAAAAGAAATGTTTAAATATCTGATTCATTATTTGACTGTTTAGAGAAGCAGCATTTTCATTTTAATGAAAACAGCATAATCAAAATGAGGCCAATAATAATAGTGACATTGAGTATTAAAAGTTATATTTAAGTTATGGCCATCACTAGTCACCACGAATATTACTCCGGTGATACACTGTATCACCGGATGTAGTATTTACATTAAATTTGGAGATCAATCATGGCTATTTGCATTTTGGAGTTATGCATTAAACAAACTAGAAGCTGCTTACTCTTTGAATAGCTTTGACATCTCCTTCTGACCTTCAGCAACAGCCTCTGGATCCATTGTCTGAAAAATGGATTTTATTGTGAGTAGAAAAAAATTTGTCTTTTGATATAATACGTATAACATACATGTATGAAAAAATTTCATTGCTCCAATATGACAAAGAACCCATTTCTTATAAATTATTTAATGACAAGTCACTCATTTTTAATGGAATTTGTTGAAGTTGTTAGTTTTAGATAAATAAGAAAACAATAAGAGCATTAAATTATTGCTGACATATATGAATATTGAACTGATACAAAAGACTAAACACCAATCCCTAACTATATGGACACAAGACTCCTAATCCTAAATAAATAGGAAAAACATGAAGGAAATCATGATATTAAAAAGTAATATAAAACCAATCCTAGATGATAAACTAAGATACTTTATGATTAGACACAGATCATAGAAGATAAACTAGGATACTCTAAAATTAATAACTCTTAAAAGTTCCACATTTTATAAGTGGAGAATGGGTGGGGTAGCTCAACTAGTATGTGTTAGTAGAGTTAAATGGGTGTAAGTTGTTGATTCAGGGTTCGATCTCTGACAATAGCATTTCATTGTATTTTTTCATAATGCACTAATGTAAACAAGTTGTTGATACTTATAACTCAACAACTTTTAATATAAGCAGGGGTAATCTTCACCTTACAGCCGATTTTGTAAAGGCCCAATCCAGACTCTAATATGGCATCAAAGTTTATCCAAGATCAGTTGAACCACCTCCTATCAGGTTACTTCGATCAAGCCACTCAGATCACCATCAGATGTCCAATCCTAGACATGAGGGGTATTTGTTAAGAGTTCCCCATCTTACAACCGGATTTTGTAAGGTTAAGTTAAACCCAACCCAAACTCTAATATGGATTTAAATCCTACCCAGGATCCGTTTGATTGTATTTTTTCATAATGCACTAATGTAAACAAGTTGTTGATACTTATAACTCAACAACTTTTAAAATAAGCAGGGGTAATCTTCACCTTACAGCCGATTTTGTAAAGGCCCAATCCAGACTCTAATATGGCATCAAAGTTTATCCAAGATCAGTTGAACCACCTCCTATCAGGTTACTTCGATCAAGCCACTCAGATCACCATCAGATGTCCAATCCTAGACATGAGGGGTATTTGTTAAGAGTTCCCCATCTTACAACCGGGTTTTGTAAGGTTAAGTTAGACCCAACCCAAACTCTAATATGGATTTAAATCCTACCCAGGATCCATTTGACTACCTCCTGTCATGTTTCTGTTATCGTGCTACTCAAATCACACTCCAAATGTCATGTCCAGTCATAAGCGTGGGGGGTGGAGGAAGGGGGTAAGAGTTCCATATTTGAAGAGATATGGCCTGACAACGTGTTTATAAGTGGGAGGAATCTTCACCTTACAAGTAGGTTTTGTTAGGCCTAACCCAAACTCTAATAATAACAAAGCTTTTCAAAGATGTTCTATCTTTTCACATATCGCCGTGGCTATACAACGAATAGGCTATAAGAACTATTGAAGATTTTCAGATGTTTTTAAGGATCTTATAAAACTACCTTCTAAAAGACATGATCATGGCATAGTGTTGAAGGAAGGGGCAGAAATTCCTAATACGCAACTTGAAAGGTACCCCGTCAATATTAAAAAAACTGAGATAGAAAACCAATTAGTAATGTGTTGGTGTGATTCAACTTAGTGTAAATTTCTATTCAAGATCTATAATTACTGTAAAGGAAAAGAATGGAAGGTAGAGTTTTTGTCTTAAAAGAGAGATTGGGAAAAGAGTATGGAATTCGGATATTTATAGTGATTGGTGGGTTGAGACTTGGGAGTGCTAGGATCTGTAGATTTTCATTGAAAAGAATGAACAATTTGCTGAAAGATTGAGAAAGGATAAAAATAAATAGGAGAAAAATCTCTCTTCCAAGTTTAATAATGATCCACATCCTAGTATTCTCTTATACAAATAAATGTATAACAACCTCAACTAACTGACTATTCTAACAACGTTTAACTACTCTAATAAGACATGATTCTATATACTATCAACACACCCCTCTTCAAAACAACGTTGTCGTCAAGGTTGACTCACAAGGATTAGATTCCTATCATATTTCATCTGCTCTTCTTGCAGAAGAGAACTTAGTCACACTCAGTATGAATGGAAAAAAAATGAGACTACTTGAGTGTTATTATTTATTTAGATACCTACAGTTTTACTGATGACATTGATAATCAGGTTAGACACTTAATCGGTGAACTATAAAAAAAATCCAAAAAAAAAAAAATGCAAACTAAAAATTTTAAGATGTAAGACTATAGAACTTGTGAGGCTCCTGTTGCTTAACTTACATTCATAACAATATATAGCAAAGCATTATATCGGATATCGTTGGTATTAAGAAATGACTTGATGAACTAGAGCATCATTACCTGTCTATCAATCTTTTCCTTTATCTCTTCTAAGCAAGGCCTCATAAGCTGCAGTGCACATGAAACAGTAAGCTTCAGATAGATAAGATATCAAAAAAGTGCATTATCAAATATACAACAAGCTTTACAGCCTTCATTCAAAAGGGCAAAAAAAGAAGGAACAAAATGGTGAAGTGGGTGAATAATAAATCCTATACCCGTATCAGGGATATCTTATTTCAAAAATGGAAAGAGAAGCAAATGGAAAATTCCACTCCAAACATCTAATTAGTATCCTGTTGAAATAGAATAACAAAGGAGAAAGGGGCAAGTAATAGTCATTGGCATTCCTACATTTTAGCAAGAAATGAGTATGAAAACAAAGCAACACAACATACGGTAAGCTTAGAAGTGGCCTTGAGTTGATTTATTAAGAGTGGAACAGTTGCACTTCGAATCAAGAGAGTTGTTAGAACTATGGATGCCCACCTGATACAAAATTCATGCACCATTAAATTTTTTAGGAGTTAGGAATTCACAACTCATTAAAGAACAATGTAGCTAGCATAGTCTCAAAACTCTATATTTCCATTCACCTTAAAAAGGTCATAAATAATCTAAGACTCCAATTTGTCTATTCTTAAGGGAAAATCATTAGTTTAATTACTTATTACCTATGAAGCACGAATACAGTCACCAACATTGATACATCGAAATTGGTAATAATTTGAAAAAAATGAATAAATAAAACAAAATCACAAGTGTTGGTGTCGTGTCAGACACTATTGACACACATTTTTTAAGAGGCGTCGGTGCTACCGAGCTTATTATGATGAATAGCAAACTATGATGCATAGGTACGGGTAGAGTACCCAGTGCGGGTACGGGTACAACACTTTTAAAAAAATTAAGGGACGGTTGAAATAAGAATTTTCTATAAAACTTATAAGAGAACTAAATAATTAGGTTCATAACAAAACACCACTATAAAAAATTGAAAACAACAAAATTTAATATGCTATATTGATATTTGAGAATACCACAAATTTCATTCAAAACCAAATAATGAGGAAAAAAAATGGAGTACCACGAGTACAGTAAGAGTACCCGATACGGGTGCGTACCCAGTACCTATGCTTCAGAGATAGCAAGTTAAACTCACCAATTTAGCCCACTGAAGGAATGCACTGCATCTATAACGTACTGCAAGGCTTGTACAGGCAAATAAGAATCAGCAGCAGCAATAGCAACTTCACTAACAACCGGAGCCTGAGAAACTACAGCGTCCATGGTAGTATCAATAAGAACATCAGCTACATCAGTCATTGCGGTAATCTTATCCAAATCCTGATTCAATGTAGACATATTTCGGCAGAAACTATATCCAGCTAAAGGAGAAAGGTTTCTATATTGAGCGGATGAGAAAAAACCCATTGATCCGTGAGAGTTTCCAAAGGACCTTGATTGAATAAAACTACTGATTCCTGTCGAACAAGGTTTCTCGTCTGGCTGGTCGCGATTCCCTTCGCCGCCATGGATAACATAGGTGAAAGACGGTTGGAACTTCCGGTCTATGAGGTTCCGTCTTTGCAAGAGGCAACGTCTATAAGCCATTGATTTGTTTGAAAGTTCTATCGAACAACATTGCATGAAGAAATTAGAAACGAAGCTGAAGAGGGAGAGGAAAATTCGAAAGAGATAATGAAAAGAGGAAAACCTGGATGGCTTTCTCGGTGTTCTGGCGGCTGACGAACAACTCGCCTGCTTTTCACGGCGAGATTCTGGTTTTTACGGCTGACGATGTGAATTCAGCAGAACGCCAAAATTTTAGGGTTTTAATTAATTAATTACGGTAAGTCTTTTTTAATTCATTTACTTTTTAACTCTTGTTAATCAAGTTAAAAATTAGAAGCTTGGTGCGGGTTTGATCTTTTGACACGACAGAGTCTAATTAGGTGTTTGAGGTGCGCCCCGTGGGAAAAAGAACCGTTTTGTTTTTCTTATCAACTAACTAACTACCTTGAAGGCCGCCCTGCCGCCTATTATACCTCAACAGGAGTCTCCTCCTAGGTGCGACCTAAATAGTTTTGATTTTAAAACTAGTTTTAAAATTCATTCGAAACGCAAGAGAAAGAAAAATACAGTTGAGTTTGATTTGCTTGACTTTTATAATATTTATAAATAAAATCGAATTAAATCAACCCAAATCAATTCAATCTTGATTAGTTTGACTTTTTATTATATCTTTATTGAATCCTACATATACATAAAGATAGGGCTGGACAAGGAACCGATAACCGGTCCAACCCGCATCAACCGATACTAAAAAAATGAATTGGGCCGGATGCACACGGTTTGGCGGTTTGGCGGGTCCAAAATACGGTTTCGTATGGCTCTACTGGGCGGGTCCGGTTCAGCAAATTGAAACCGTCGGTAACCATATCCACCCGACTGTAAGTGTTCAACGCAGCGTTTTTACTCTCCATTCTCATTTCATTTCAATTGAACCCTATCTTTCCAAAACTTTGTTGTTTCTCTTTTCTTCAATCTTCACAATACAAACCCTAAATATAAACTTTCCGTTCCATTTTGCACAGAGATTCATTCTTCACACAGAGTGAACAGGAAATAGCTTCAAGAATCTTCACTACTTGACTGATCTGAACCCTAAAAACGAACCTTTCAATTTGCGCCGCCGTCTCTATTCGTTCCATTCTAGTCTTAATATGCTATTCGTCTAGTTCGTTCCACTGTTCTCCATTTTCCAATGTAAGTACAACTTTCGTTTCATTTACAGTATTCACGTTTTTCGTTTTCGTTATGAACTTTACTAGAACATAAGATTACCCATTTTTCAGGTTTTTGTTTTGAACTTTAGTGAAGAACATAAGATTTTACCCATTTTTTGTGTTTTCTATTGTAGAGAAAATGTTGCTGATGAGTTCAGTTCAATTCTAACTCTGCAACTCAATTCCAAGGAATATACACAGCAAACTCAGGCAGCAGTAGCGACATTTGCGGTAATGGCGACCACTTCAACATTGTTTGGTATTGTCTTAAATTATGAGTTTGTTTGAGTTTTGTCTTTGTATTATCATAAATTTTGATTGTGTTTCGGCATAAGATGAATGTTGCAGCTTTGAATTGTTATTTCATCTTAACATCGGTGTGTATTACTTATTCTATCTTGTGTTGAATATTTGTTTCTTTTGCTGGGATTGTATTGACATAGCTTATTAAATAATATTGCAATTCCACCCTGTGTTTCCATGGATGTGTCACAAATACAGGATTGCTACTGTTGTGATGCAGAGCTTGAATGCATTGCATTTTATTTTCTAAATATGTTTCTACTTAATGATGTTATGGTTATGACTATTTCGACTACGCTTGTGACAAGCTTTGTTTCTGTTTCCTGCCGGATTGGTTATATGAGACATTGTAGCTACTGTGTTATCCAACTGAAGTTGTTGCCATTTTTTTTTGTCAAATCTGTGGCAATTTTGGTGAACCACAGTTTTGTCGTTAATGCTTGTAGTCACCTTGTTTCGGTTCGATTTCATGGTGCTTGTTGTTGTTTGTGATTTGATCCCGTAGAACCTATTCAGTTACGTGCATTGCTATTGTATAGGCGGGTGGATTCTATCCAAGGTCATTAAGCTGTAGTTTTAATTTGTTGAGAAAATTGTACAAGTCATGATTCTGTTGCTATTCTTAACATGTTTCCCATGGATTAGAAAAGGTTTGATGTAAAATGGATTATTGGATTTGATACTGGTAGTTGTTTCTATCCAAGGAATAATTCCCTCTTATACTTGTGATTGTATGTATATTGATATAAAATATTACAAGTTTATGATTAACTAAGTCTTAATGAAGAAATGTTTCATACTGCTGCTACAGGTAATACATGTTAATAACAGTTTTGCTTAGAAATTGGATTTGAATTTTATGTATGTTTAGAAACAGTTCGGGTTTAGAAATTTAAGAGCTTTGGGTTTAGAAACTAAAGTAGAAACTAAATTATTGCATTAAGAGTGTACTTAGAACTGCAGAATGCAATAAGTTATTGATTTTGTAAGCAAATGTACTTAGAACTTAAGTCATAAGAGTGCAAAAGCTGAACATATCTCACATAAAAACTGCAGAACAACTATTTAAAAGGGAAATGTAATTTAAAAATTATCATTAATGAGTGTAATATACCACAACAACCAAAAACTATGTAAGCAAATGTACTTAGAACTTAAGTCATAAGAGTGTAATATACCACAACAACCAAAAACTTATTTTCACTAAGCATCTAAACACATAATGAGTTAATAATGTTGGTTGTGTGTTGATTATAATCTTCATTAATTTTCAGCAATGGAGAATGTTACTCAACACCAGCCTTCTACATTAACATCTGGTGTTGTTGCAACTGATGTTGCTGCAACTGAAATTCACGTTGTTGGGCTTCCTCCACTTGGAAAGAAAAGAAAACCAAATGCTAATGGTCCTAGGAAATCGTCTCCTGCATGGGACCACTTTATTAAATTACCTAATGAAACTGAACCAGTAGCTGCTTGTAAACACTGTCATAAAAAGTATTTGTGTGATCCAAAATCCCATGGGACATCTAACATGCTTGCTCACACAAAAATATGCACCAAGAGGCCACAAAATGATCCTACTCAAACTGCCCTTTCCTTTGCTAGTGGAGAGGGTGGTGGCTTGGTTGCTGCAAGCCAACGATTTAATCTTGCAGCTTGTAGAAAAGCTATTGCTCTATTCGTGATCCTGGATGAACATTCTTTTAGAGTAGTTGAAGGGGAGGGATTTAAGTTGCTATGCAAACAATTACAACCCCAATTAACTATTCCATCGAGGAGGACTGTGGCGAGGGACTGTTTTCAACTTTTTGTTGATGAAAAAGTAAGATTAAAAGGTTATTTCAAATCTGATTGCAATAGGGTAGCCTTAACCACTGATTGTTGGACATCCATTCAGAATCTTAGCTACATGACCCTAACTGCACACTTTATTAACAATGATTGGAAGTATGAAAATAGAATTCTAAGTTTTTGTTTAGTTCCTAATCATAAGGGTGAGACAATTGGTAGGCAAGTTGAAGAGATATTAAGGGAGTGGGGAATAAGGAATGTGTCCACAATCACAGTGGACAATGCAACATCTAATGATGTAGCTGTTGCTTATTTGAAGAAGAGGATTAATAATATGGGTGGTTTAATGAGTGATGGGTCTTTCTTTCATCTTCGTTGTTGTGCACACATTCTAAATCTGGTGGTTCGTGATGGTTTAAAACAAAATGAATTATCTATTTGTGCCATTAGAAATGCTGTTAGATTTGTGAGATCATCACCCCAAAGATCATCAAAGTTCAAAGAATGTATTGAGTTTGCTAGAATTAATTGTAAGAAACTTTTATGTCTTGATGTTCCAACAAGGTGGAACTCATGTTATTTGATGTTAGATGCTGCTGAAAAGTATCAAGCAGCATTTGAGAAAATGGAAGGTGAAGATTTTAGCTATTTGAAATTTTTTGGGTTAGTTGGTCCCCCTACTCTTAATGATTGGGATAATGTTAGGTGTCTTGTAAGTTTTTTCAAAATTTTCTATGAAGCTACTATGGAATTTTCTTCGTCAAAACAAGTGTCCCTTCATAAGGCATTCCACCAACTAGCTTCAATCCACTGTGAGCTAAAAAGATCATCCATGAACTTGAACACAATTTTAGCCTCAATGGGATATGAAATGAAGCAGAAGTATGACAAATATTGGGGAGAAATTGAAAATATCAACAAGTTTATTTACTTTGGTGTGATTTTTGACCCTCGGTACAAGTTAGGATATGTGGAGTGGTGTTTTAATGATATGTATAATGATGAGTCTGTGCCTTTTACTAATCTGATTGATGTGATAAAAAAAGAGTTGTTTAAACTATTCAATTGGTACAAGGGTATACATGACCAACAACATGGTACTAGTCCTATTGAGGGTAGTTCATCTGGTGATGGTGTTGTTCCTACTACTGAAATTCCATCTCATAATGCAAGAGTTGAAGCTTTTAAGGAGCACCTAAAACAAAAAGATTCAATAGATAAAAAAAATGATCTTGAGAGGTACCTAGATGACAATTGTGCTGATGATGTTAACTTTGACATCCTTATGTGGTGGAAACAAAACTCTTGTAGATACCCTGTTTTAGCAAAAATGGTGAAAGATGTTTTAGCTAGTCCTGTGTCAACTATCGCTTCTGAAAGCACGTTTAGTACTGGGGGCAGAGTTCTAGACACATATAGAAGCTCGTTAAGCCCTGAAATGGTAGAGACTTTGATTTGTGCACAAAACTGGTTAAAACCTACACTTAGTCAATTCAAGGATCTGAATATAAATGAAGATTTTGAGGTGTCTTTCACTACTGTATCAGGTATATAAAATTGTGTATTTAGTCTACTAATATATTAGGTTTGATTTTAATTTAATTGTTTGGTTTTTATTTACTGTTTTGTAGAATTTGGTGGTTCATCTGTTAGTGGATCAACATCTGGTTGTGATTCTAATGTTGTTGGAAGAGGAAAAGAACCAGTTGCTGGTTCATCTCAAACACATACTTAATGCTGGCAGTGGTTTGTGCATTAATACTGCTTTACTTATATTTATGTTTATGAAATGTATTAATATATTTTTTGTTTCATTTCAGTTTGTTTTTTGGAGTCATTTGTATATATAGATCAACAATGGCTCACTTTTTTGGTGTTGCTGTATCGTGCAACTTGTTTTGGTGGTCCTGTTTCGTTCTCGTGGCATCTGCAGCAGCAAAATGTAGTTGTTTTTTGGTGGTCCTGTTTCTTTTTGGTGGCATCTGCTGTTTCGTCCTGTTTCGTTTTGGTGGTCCTGTTTTTTTCTGCAGCAGCAAAATCTGTTAGTGGATCAAAATCTAGTTGTGATACTTCAGCTGTTTTACCCTAGGTGAGTCATTGCTATTTTGATTTACTTAATCCACAAAATTGTTTTATGAGAAATGGATGATTTGGTTGTTCTACAAATCATGATATTATTTGGTTGTTGTGTGTGGAAGTTCATATGTATGTATTTTGCTGTTTATGTCATTGCTGTTTATGCTGTTAACTTCAACTTAATGTCATTGTTGTTTATGCTGTCAAGTTAATGTTCTTCAGTTTATGTTGTTTATGTCATTGTTGTTTATGCTGTTAAGTTTATGCTGTCATTGCTGTTTATGCTGTCAAGTTAATGTCATTGCTGTTTATGCTGTTAAGTTAATGTCAAGTTAATGTCATTGTTGTTTGAGTAAATCTTCTCCTTTCTTGGCCTCAATCACAACTCTCTTTTCTTCAGCTTTCTTGTGAAGTAATGCTATTTTGTTCTTCATTTTCTCTGCAAAATAATGACTTGAAAAATAATGTTCTTCAATTATAGTCCTATGTTATAATGCGTGTCTGAATGCCAAGAGTGATTTTTGAATGTTACCATGAATCCTTATTAATTCATAGGTATAGCATAAGGTAGGATTGTTGCGTGTGGTTTAACTTAAGGAGGATACGACAATGGGATGAACTGAGATTGAGATAGGTTTCGAAAGCGACAAGTGAGGACAGTTTGGTTTCAATTGGTGGACATAGTGTTTTGATGCTGTCCACAATCTTATTGGGAGGGTCATCAACTTGGCTCCTTATGAGAAATGGATGATTTGCATATCTCACTACTTGCACCATTGTCCAGCCTTCATATCAATTTGTGTCCAACCTTCATACTGTTGTTTCATAGAACATACTGCTATTTCATAGAACATACTGCTATCATACTGCTATCATACTGCTATTTCATCAATTTGTCTCCAGCCTTCATATCACTACTTGCACCATACTGCTGTTTCATAGAACATACTGCTATGTCATCATTATCCGGCCTTCATATCTCACTACTTGCACCAAGAACATACTGTTGTTTCATAGCAATTTTTGTTTTACATTTGTCTTTTTGTATCTGTCATTGTAGGGGTTTGATTATTGGCCTTTCAAAGTGCAATATTGAGCAAACTCATAGCATGTTGATTAAACATATAGAAAACTCATAGCAATATTGAGCAAACTCATTGTAAGGTACTAAGGGTTTAAAAGTTTGTAATTGCTACAAAAGTTTGTAATTGCTGCAGAAGTTTGTAATTGCTTATTAGTTTGGGTTGATTTTCACAGGCTGAACCTGAAAAACCTGCTGCTGTGAATGGTGTTGATGATCAAAGTGTAAGTATGGTGAGATAGGATAGTTGTATATCACATGTAATTTGAATGTTGCTGACTAAGTTGTTTTTGCAGGGTAAAGTTGTTAATTCTGTTGATGACAATTAGGATGTTCTTAATGAATAGGTTTAAGTGTGGTTTGTAGAGAGACCATTGCTGTTCTCCACAAAATTGGAAAGCTTGTTGGTTTGTGACACAAGATCTTTGTCTAGGTAATTCCCCCTGCAAGTGTAATTCCCCCTGCAAGTCTAGGTTTAAGTGTGGTTTATAAAATATACCTCTATTTAATCTATCAATAAAAAATATACCTTTTACTCTAAAATTGGTTCTTTTTTTTTTGTCAAAATTATTAAATGAAAGTTTGTAATTGCTGCAGAAGTCAATGGCTTGGTTTATGTAGTAGGAGGATATGGAGCAGAAGGCGACAGTCTATCTAGTGCCGAGGTTTATGATTCGGATACTAACATGAAGGATATGGTTGTGGAAATTTCTTCAAAATGGCAACGAGATTTGGAGAACATTCTTGAATTCAGATTTGGTAACTTGTCAAAAAGGATATGGATTGAATATGAAGGCGGGAATGCTACTGCTGAGTCAATTTGGATGATGGACCTGCTCTCAATCTGTAGACCAGCAAATGAAAATTGCTTCCTAAATAAAGTATTGATTGTACTAGGCAGAGGGACTAACATACATGTATTGATCTATGATGTTTTAACATCGTCATGGTTGCATCTATTGCTGTCAAAATTTGGTTTTTCATACTAAAAACTTATTTGTATTTGTTTTGACAAACCGATTCAACCCAACCGAATAAACCGTTTAAACCGATAATCCGCCAACCGATAAAACCGAACTTAGTCTTGGGTGAAATTGGGTTCAACTTTTTCAACCGTGGATTAGTTCGGGTTAACTATTTTGAACCCGAACCCACCCATAACCGACCGCCGTCCACCCCTACATAAAGAGATAACATAATTTTATATTTAATTATTCATACATTATCAAAAAAACAAATTCATAATCGTCAAAATAAGTTTACAATTTTATTTTGTACCAAAAGAAAAATATACATGAAATTGTATTCTTAAATAAATTTAAAATATTATATTGTATAGTTAGTTATAAGCAAATTTTTTACATGTGACTATCCTAGTCTGATAACACAATAATTTCGTTTTATTATCTATTATGGATCGGCCGAAAGTCCAAATTGCTAAGACTTAAGTCAACTCAAATCCATTTCACATGACTCAATGTATAAAAGGCATCTTACACAAAATGCAAAGTACACTTTTCTAATCTCCACTTTTGATCACAATCATCTTAAAATTTTAACTGATTGTAACTATAGAATGCAACCTATGAGTGGGTGAATTAGTTTTTCTAAATTTTTCTTATTTTAAGTAAAGATTCCTCTCCTTTTTATTTTTTCAAAATTAAATTATTAGACTTAAATGAAAAGTGTAGAAAAAATAAAGAATAAGAAAATAAAAGGCACAAGAATGTTCTCCTTTTAAGCAATGGTGCATATAGTCCTTTCACATGTTGAAAGACGTAGTGAGAAAAGAGATAGTGAAACTGTTAGAGGCCGACATGATTTATCTGATTTCATACAATGCCTGGATGAGTCCAGTCCAGGTGGTTCCGAAGAAAAGGGAAATGGTTGTGATTACAAATGATAAAAACAAACTGATTTTGGCAAGAACTAACACATGATGAAGGATGCACATCGATTACCGAAGGTTTAACCAAGCCACCAGAAAAGATTATTTTCCATTGTCGTTTATGGATAAAATGCTGGAAAGATTGTCTGATCAAGAGTTTTACTATTTTCTGGATGGTTATTCAGTATACAATCATATCACTGTAAGTTCAGAAGATCATGAGAAGACAACTTTCACATGTTCTTTTGGCATCTTTGCTTATAGACGAATACCTTTCAGATTATGTAATGAACCGACAACGTTTCAACGATGTATGCAAGCCATCTTTATTGACTTGGTTGAAAAGTACATTCGAGTATTCATGGACGACTTCTCAGTTTTGGCCCTTTTTTTGACCTATGTCTTGAAAATTTGGACACCGTACTAAAGTAGTGTGCAGAGACGAATCTGATTTTTAACTGGGAGAAATGCAACTTCATGGTGACGGAAGTGTTAATTAGGAAATAATATTTGCAGTTATTGTGAATAATTTACATTCATAAAATAGGAAATTAGTCATTATGAATTGTAATTAGTTATTATCAGCTGTAATTAGTTATTATGAGTTGTAACTACCGACACTGTTATATATAGTATGAAAGGCAATGAGAAAGGCATCAAGCCAAATTTCATGACATGGTATCAGTAGGTTCGATCAAACCTGGAAAATATTATTATATTGGCTGATCAGCGATACCCCACTGGTTTGCTCTCGTAATCGTGTTCATTTCGAAATTCTTTCGTTTGAAATCGAAACCTTGCAGCTGTCTGAGATTCTAAATTTTTGGTTGCCGGTTCGTGATTTCGTCTTGGAGATTCTCGTTGTTGCGCTGATATTGCAATCAATTTTTTTTGGTTCTTGGCTATTGTTGCTTCGTGATTCTGGATCGTCATAATCTTCTGTTTTGCCGCTCCTTCCAAATCGTAGATTTGATCGTGTTGTTGTTCGTTGGTTCGTGGGTATTGTTTTTTGTTGCTGCTCTAGTAACTGTGATTACAGTTACTGTTATTATATTATAGTTATTATTATTATTATTATTATTATTATTATTATTATAGTAAAATAATATTAGTGAGATTGTATCTGGTGGTTTAATAATTTAGATGGCTTCCGTAAAAGAAAGAGATAATTTTTGTGTTCGTTTTACCGGCAAGAATTATTCGGCATGGGAATTCCAGTTCAAGATGTATGTTAAAGGAAAGGGATTATGGAGTCACTTAGATGATGTTTCTAAGGCACCAACGGAGAAAACTGCTTTAGATGCGTGGGAAACTAAAGATGCTCAAATTATCACTTGGATTCTAAACAGTATTGATCCTCAGATGATAAGTAATTTGCGTTCTTTTTCAACTGCTCAAGAAATGTGGAATTATCTGAAGCGCATTTACAACTAGGACAATTCGGCAAAACGTTTTCAGTTGGAGTTAGACATCGCCAACTACAAACAAGGTGATTTGTCTATTCAAGAATACGATTCTGGTTTTTTGAATCTTTGGGCAGAACACTCTGCTATTATACATGCTAATGTTCCCAAGACCTCTCTTGCGGCTGTTCAAGAGGTCTACAACACAAGTAGGTGAGATCAATTCCTCATGAAGCTTCGTCTAGAATTTGAGGTTGTCAGAGGTGCTTTGCTAAATAGGAATCCTGTTCCTTCTTTGGATACATGTGTTGGTGAACTTCTCAGGGAGGAACAACGTCTCCTTACTCAAGGAACCATGTCTCATGATACTGTCAGTTCTGAGCCTGTGGCAATTGCATATGCTGCTCAAAGTAGAAATAAAGGTCGTGATATGCAACACGTCCAATGTTTTTCTTGCAAACAGTTTGGACATATTGCTCGTAGCTGCAGTAAGAAGTTTTGTAATTATTGCAAACAACAAGGTCATATCATTTTTGACTGTCCCACGCGTCCTCCACGACCAGCACATCATTCGGTGAAGGCATTTCATGCCACTACAGGCCATACAATTGGCTCTTCCACCAATGGTGCATCAGATGGCA